AGAAGTTCTGCTCAAAAGCCGATTTTCAAAATGGCCGCTCATTTCAAAATGGCGGCCATTTTAGTGCCGATTTTACAGTAATTTAGATGTGATATGTAAAACTGTAATAGCAATATGTTTTAAATGTAAAAAAATTATAAAGGACATTAATAATGCTACAAATGTAGATATTAAAGAAGCACATGGCAGCCATCTTGAAAAATGGCGGCCTTTACTCGTCATTTTACGATTTTTGCTATAACTCAAAAAATAGTGGAGCGATTTTGTTCATATTTGGTATGTGAATACTATAAGCATTGCACACTGTCTAAAGACACTTTTGGTAGAAGGTGGCCATTTTGAAAAATGGCCGCCATTTTAACATATTTTACTATAACTCAAAAAGTAGTGGAGCAATTTTGTTCATATTTGGTATGTGAATACTATAAGCATGGCACACTGTCCTATGACACTTTCGGTAGAAGGTGGCCATTTTGAAGAAAAAATAGAAAAATGGCCGCCATTTTAACGTATTTTAATATAACTCGAAAAGTAGTGGAGCGATTTTGTTCATATTTGGTATGTGAATACTATAAGCATGGCACACTGTCCTATGACACTTTTGGTAGAAGGCGGCCATTTTGAAAAAAAATTTGAGCCATTTTAATGTATTTTACTATAACTCGAAAAGTAGTGAAGTGATTTTGTTCATATTTGGTATGTGAATACTATAAGCATGTCACACTGTCTATTTCTAATGACACTTTTGGTAGACAGTAGCCATTTTGAAAAATGGCCACCATTTTAACGTATTTTACTATAACTCGAAAAGTAGTAGAGCGATTTTGTTCATATTTGATATGTGAATACTTTAAGCATGGCACATTGTCTAATAAAACTTTGGGGAGTAGTCGGCCATTTTGAAAAATGGCCACCATTTTTATGTGTGTTATTTTACAAGTACGTGTGCGATTTTTCAAAAACTTTAGAGGTGGCTACTTAAAAGCATATTATTTCTTCTGATGACAACTTGGCTAGTGAGCAACCATTTTGAAAATGGTGGCCTTTCTGGTGTGTTGTTCTATGATACTTGCTATTCGTTTGTAAAAATGCCAGCCATTTTTGTTCGATGGGATTCGCTACGCTTTGGCGTTGCCGTTGTTCTGGTTATTAACAACTTCTTAATGAAAAGAGTTCGTATTAAATTATACAATCTTCAGTTTGTACATCTAGGTAAAGCTAATTGACTAGATGCAAGTAGAAATAATTTTGAGTTTCGTATTTAACAATTAAAATTCAGTGATATCATATTTGAAATCTCCATGCAAAATCACATCTACAAATGTGGTTTTAAAAAGTGTTTATCAACTTTGAAAATTTAATTTTCTTTGAAAAAGTGACTTCTAGGTCAGGGAGATTCCTCATGTTATAAAATCAAAAAAGTGAAATATCTTTTCTTGTATAGGACAGATAAAAAAATTTTTACTGGACATATTTCAATGTGTATAACTATCAGATACACAAGGGTAATTTGAAAATTGAACCACTAAAAACTGATGAATATTCAAGTTTAAGGGAACTTTCTAATACCCTGCCATAACCACGAATCAGCCATTTATGGCCTAGTCACATAGCCCGGCCGATGTCCGGCATCGGTAGAGCTCGGTGGATTTTTTTGGTGCCACCGAGCTCTCCTCATCGGAAGCAGAGCTCGGTGACGTGAACGGACTCCGTCCGGACATCTTCAGGCGACCGACCAAACACCGACCGACGACCGTACGGAGTCTGTCTCAAAATGGTAGTTTTTTCTGCCGATGTGGCAGCCACTACCGGCCGGATGTCGGCCGGACATCGGAAGGAATACGGCCGGTACCCGAGCAGGTAACAGGACACCGTGCGATCGCCGGCCGGGTTGTTAATGGGCTTTGAACAGTGACCGGCCGATGCTCTGTCCCACATCGGCCGGAGCTCGGTAGGAGCTCGGCCGCTGTCCGTTAAAAAACCTCGTCCTCTGGTTGTCTCAGATGCACGGGACACCGGCCGATACTCGGCCGTGCACCGGCCGACGTGTTTTCCGATGTGGTTACGATGGGGTTGGATGACATGATGAGGGAGCTCGGTGAGAGCCCGGTGAAATTTAACTTCGAAGTTCAAATTTCACCGAGCTACCACCGATGCGGTTTTAAGCAACAAACGCCACGGATGTCCAGCTGGTGTTCGGCCGAGTTCAGTGAAAATTGCATCGCTGGCTCATCGTAACCTCATCGGCCGGGCTATGTGACTAGGCCATTTAGTGGTGAAAATGGTAACTACCTACTCGCATCTGGGTAATTACACAATGAATAATTAATATTCTACAAAGCAGCATGTTACAAAAGACACTAATGACAAAGCTAATCCTTTGTCTGGTAAGGGACCTCCTAGCTGGCATTTTAGGGTAGCGGAATGTCTAATAATACAAAGATAATCGATAAAACCCCTTTAAATGTTACAAGTAAATGCTAAAATCTGACTTCAAAGTATCTTTGAGTAATTACAAACATACATGTATGTTCAGTTATGATATAGAGATCAATTTCCCTGTCCAGTTCTTTTTTGTTAGAAGACATCCTTAATCATAGACTAAGGGTTATCAACGATTTGTACTTTGGTATATGATCTTGATTTTGTTGAAACCAATTTTACCTAAGCAAACAGAAATAACTCAATCTTCTAAAGAATAAATTTAATTCTATCATCATGAATCTATAAAATCTTCCTTATCATTTCAAAACAAAACATTAAACATGTTCGGTGAAAAATGCATTAAATTAATTTCCTTACATACTTTGAGGAATAAAACAAAAGGAATATATTTGTTGATATGAAAACTACATGTAGAACTCTTAAATTAATTGTTGGAATTTTGATAGGGCTGTATGAGTTCTCGAAGTTGAACTTGAGATGACATGAAAGGTTTACAATAAAACATCAGTAAAAAATGATAACTACAAGTCAATAATGTTATGGCAGTGCTTCATTTCCAAGAAAAAATAATAAATCAATCATATCCCACACAGTTTAGTCAAAAGCACCAAATTCTAAAGTCAGACTCAGTGGGTCATTGACAGGTCTGGAAATTAAGTAATCTCAAATCAATTGTTGTAACTATGGATATAATAACATCATTGTAAAAGACAATGGACCCCTGGTTATTAGAAATGAACAGGAAGTTGAATCGATGTCACTATAATTTTTGATCATTCAGACAATTGAAGCATGGAACATTCACCTAAGAAATAAGAATTTGTCCCTAGTGTTACTCAATAAAAAATGCAATTGATCAAGGCACACAGTGAATATTTAGTTGTGAGAAACAAAAATGAAGATTCAGCTTTCTGAGCAACATTTTTCTAACATAGAAAGTGCAAGTGGTCATTATTTTGGAACAGGGAAACTTATTCTGGCAGTCTAGTGGGAAAGGAAAAAATTTACCTTCATTTAAAAGTCAACTTTCTTTACACAACATTTTCTGTATGGAACTTCATAGGTCTTTTTGAGTCTAAGTAAAATCTACAATCAATGGATAATTATTTAATAATTCAGAAGTTGACGCCATAATTTAATTGATTAACCTCCACATTTGATATTTTATCACGGCATCAAGCAAACATATTTTAACTATGCATAGTCATACACCATTTGAGCAACATAATAAAACCACAGGTGCCAAAAGAAGAAACACAAAAGTATAAGGACAGCTACGAAAATTAAAATTTAAGATGAGAACTGATTAACTTCCACATTTGATATTTTATCACAGCATCAAGCAAACCTATTTTAACTATACATAGTCATACACCATTTGAGCAACATAATAAAAGTACAAGTGCCAAAAGAAGAAACATAAAAGTGTTAAAAGACAGTTAGGAAAATGAACATTTAAGACTAGAACATACTACATAAATTAGCAAGCTCTAGCAAACAAACAATTAACACAGGCTAGAAGAAAATAAATATCAAGGTCAAATTCATAGGACTTTTTCATTGCTTCTTAATTCATCTGAAAAATTCCATCTGGAATTTTAAATCCATTTCAATATTTCAAGTAAGTATTGTACATCATAGTCATGCACATCACACAGACAAAAACTAATATGAAGGTCACTTTCATAGCTCTCATGCAATGTCTTTTTATAAGAAGAATTCATTCTGGATCTTCAAGTTCGTTGTTTTCATCACAAACAACAATCTACGAGACTATAGTTGATGGCAAGATGCTTCCAAATGCTGAGATCACTACAATTTTTGTTGAGAATGAGCTACAATGTCTTAGAGAGTGTAATAAATGGCAAACATGTGCCTCAGTGAACTTTAAGATAATGGACAAAAGTGCTGGTGGAAAAATGTGTGTGTTGAATAAGGGGACAATCGGAGAAGGATTTGACCTGGTGGAAGATTCCAGCTATCAGTACATACAAATGTCCAAGCAACACCTTGCAAATTCTAATGTAAGTTTCTTTATTAGACATTTTTCTTTCAACATACCAAAAATATATTTTTCATTTTAATTTGGTTTTAGCCTAAATATATAGTCTGTTTAGGACTTAATTCAGTCAAGAGAACTGGAGATTGAAGAGTCTAGTTATACATTACAACAGCTAGGTTGTATCCAATGTACTACAATTGAAAAGGGGTGCACAAATATATTCAACATTCAAGTATTTTCAACTGAAAATGTAGTCTGATCAACCAAAAGTTTTTCATTGTTTTTCAGACTATCTGTTCCAGAGATGTCCTCACAAATAAGCTGCTGTGTGATACAACATGTACTTCCTAGTTTTTTTTATTATTCTTCAAGTATTTGACATGTTCCTTTGTAAAGTTGTTTTTAAAGCTGAATTTTAAATGCAATTAAAACCTGATTTCAACAAAGATAATTAACTTAACTGTGAAACAATTAAGATATGACAAGGTCACAATATGACTTTGGACCTCAGCAGGATTATCATTTAAAGTTTTTCATTTACAGCATGTTATAACAACTTGAACTACAATGGTCACTGTTATGAGTACGTAGTGACTCCAGTGAGAACTTATGATGATGCCTCCGAATACTGTCATGCATCTAATGGCTATTTGGTTTCCATTAATGACGAAGCAGAGAGTAATTTTGTTAACACCATTATCAGTGGTACTAGTTTCATTTTGATAGGTAAGTTAAAATATCTTTTATTCAAATTGGCATAAAGGGACAAGTGACATGGTCATTCTATAATGCTCCTTAATTTTTTCTTATTTTTCATTTCTTCATTACTCAAAATCCCAACAAGAAGTATTTCTAAAAAAGTGAACTATATAATTTCAAATGGTTGCTATGGATACAGAAATTTAAAAATGTCACACTAATTTTCAACTTGGATACAGGAATCTTGAATGGTGATACCATAAGCTTAATAATAATGGTAGGACTTTTATCCTCTCCAATTCTATTCGGCCAATGATTTTCAAAAGCACAGTGATTCAAATAGAAACTGACGCTGACTAAACAATATTACATACAGGAGGAAGATTGTGCAAGTCTAAGCAAAAGATCTAATTGTTTCAGGATTGAAGCAGAAGAACCCAAATGAAAACATTTATGAAACTTGGGATGATGGAAGCCCTATTGAATTTACAAGGTAATTGACTGAACAAAACTGATTATTTTAGTCTCTCTCAAGCTGCAAACCTAAGGAAGGAATGGAAAATGTTTTCCATTTTCTCTTTTAGATGCTAGAGTATTGTGTGACTTGACACAATTTATAAATGCTATCAGTCTGCAGCAATGGAAAAGCAATTTCAACAGAACTACTATTTAACATTTTGTACTAAATACATTCTATTTTACTATGTATGAGGGGACCTGGAATCTAAAATTATAAGGTTGAAATTGTTCATTTCCCATAGACTTTTTTTTAGTCCTATGGAGAAAAAATAACATGAAAAGTATGGACGATAGTCTATATCAGCAATGTCAATAGTATTGTGATAATAACGTCCCTTATACCTATTTATTACATTTATAGCAAAAACATTGACTTTTGCAAGTTGGTGATGATGCGCCTTTTTTAATAGATCTCATATCTTAGAAGGGTATCAGTTCAAAAAAATACTAGATGGCCTAACATATTTTTAAATTTTCTCTTGAAAAAATAAATCTTCCAAATTTGTTGAGTTTTCTTACAGAAATCGCCTAATCCCCCCTCCATCCATTTTGTACAATCACTGGGCGTGCATATGGTTAAACATATACATATTCATCTTTAAACTTGTATATTGTTTTTTTGGCCCAGCCTGTATTTTGAAGAACAAAAAACATTTTCAATACCTTGACATATCAAAACTTGTACTACATATAGAGATGCAGCATCTCAGTTTTTCACAATACATTTTTTACAGATGGGGAGGCGGCCAGCCAGACCATCCTTCAACCGAATGCATAGTTCTTTATGAACCTGAAGACAGAAAATGGCACGATACCTTCTGTGATGCTGCACAGTTTATATGTGAGTCACGCCCAGGTAAGTAAAAGGTATTATCTACTCTTAGAGATGTACATTTTTAAAACTAACTTCTTGTGCAGGTCTTTTATAATTCAAATGAATCAAATTATAAGAATTGTGCATGTATATTAGTAGAATAAGAGCACAAATAGTAGGCCAATTTTATCAACAATGTTTTTGGTTCAGTCCTGAAAACCAGAGGACATATAGGATAATAGTTATTTCACAGAAAGGTATTTTTTCTCAGTGACAATTTGGAAAGACGGGGAATAAATATAGGAAAATTGATCTCACCAAGTTTGGTTTGATTTCAATCTAAAAGGTGGCAACGCAAAATTATCGTTCAATTATCTCAGCCAATTTTTACCTTGAAACACTTGTTTCCAGATATCTGAAATGACTTTCGTTAACAAAGTTATACTTCTGGGATTCTTTACACATCAACTATTAATGTGTTAATTTTCTAGGATCCATGCTGGATGGCCCCTACTATCTCAATCCAAACAGTGATAACTCAAGCTATATTGGGGTACAGAACACTAATCAACTCTGGCTTTCTAGCCAGATGGCTACCTGGCAAGCCTTATATATTCAAATACCTGGAATCACACAGCAAAACAACTCGGCCGTCTCACTTATTTCTGATGACAGAACAGGGAACATGGTCCATGTAACTGGTCTGACTGTGTCACTGCAGAACTTGGCGGATCATACTTCTAATGCAAATTTCAAGCAGGAAACAACATTCTTATTGGTTGAAGATGAATTTTTGCCGGGTTTCATAACATTGCATTTAAAATCAACAACTGGGTTATACTTAAGAATTTCAGGAGGGCAGTTGGTTGCGAATTTGTATGTGGACACACCAGAATTCAAGAGTAGTGCAAGTTTTAAACTGATACCTGCTCCTCGAGAATAAGCAAAAGTTGTTGCCCCTGGCTTATTCAATACCCTAATATTGATTTAATGTTTAACTTACACTTGATTTAATACAGAATTGGTGTCTGTGTCACTGCACTCTATTTACAGATCTAAACATTAATATGTGTATTTTTATAGATGTACATTTAAAAAGAATAAGTTATGGATGTTTTATAATATATTATAATATATTATCATTCATATCATAATTACATTTCACATTTGTATAAAAGTGTCACCCACTTCAGTTTTTTACAGAACTTTGTCACTTTTGCTCAATTGATAATTTAGTAATTTTAGATCATAATCTAAGAACGTTTTGGATCAATTTTTCATTTTTTGCATGTTTTTGTCCAATATTTTGTTAATTAGGTAACAAAAAATATCAAAATCAATATTGGGTAATTATTAATTCATTGAATCCATCCCGTGTAGGTATTTACTAGTATGTCACATTGGATGCATTTACTTATTTTCGAAAAAGGTGATTATCATGGAATTCATATGACCTTAAGCTGTACACTTCAATTCATTCCTCCTATGTTAAGGCATGGAGTCATTTTATTGCCAGTGTAAATTGTAAATATTTTTTAATTTGGGGAGACCTCTTTTAATCTGTTTTATCCAGATTACTGTATAAAGTATATAGGCTAATCCTAGGTAAACTAACTTCAAATATGTATTAACTTGAGCAACTATGACTTCTTTATGCCCTTTTAAATAAAAAATAGAAGTGAGTTACTTTGGCTATCATGCCTAATTTAACAAAAATGAGACATTTCAGTATTAAACCTTTAAATGGTAAAACAAATCATTTTACTTCAATTAACATATAATAGGGAACTAATGTCATATCAAATAAATTCATAAACCTTCTCTGTTGTTTCTTTATTTGTATTTATTTACCTAATAATACTATTACCATGCCATCTTTTATCAGAATAGGTAAATAATCCAGTTAATTGATGTCACTAGCAGCTGAAAACACGGACACCTTATGTCTGAAGAATGATTTGCCTCAAAAATATAATAATTAGTGCAAAGTGTGCAAACTTCCCAAAATCCCTGACTCAAAGATGCATATCAGTTTGGATGGATGTGTTGAGCTTGAACTAGAGGTCATTTATTTGATTGACAAACAGTTGACAGAAAAGCGATATACAGGCTGTGGTGTGTACTTGTATGTCTATGTATAAGTGCACATAAAAGAACACAGGGCTCCTTCAAGGAGGTGTTTCTGGGTCTATCTTCCATGTTAATTACATAAATTACGACCGTATATATACGGGACATACCCAAGAGGTATTGCTCACCTTCATTGGTGGTAAACAAAATACAATACAATATAATAGAGTGAAATCTGTCTATTTTGATCACAACTGTGATTGACCAAGTGTTCAGTATGGAAGTGGTGACATCTTTGTGGTTCTTAATTTGAAGTCTATGGAAGATTGAAGAGATGGGACAGAAAGTGTTAACAAACATTGAGAGGTGTTAATATTCATGTGTTTAATGGGTTTGAGTTTTGGTAAGCTTTAGGGGCTAAATTAATTGACATGTATAATGAAAGTCCTGTGATAAAAATATTCAATACTATTTGGATATATTCCTTTAAATCTTGCAGGACCCTTATTGGACAAATAGATATTAAATTACCTGCATGCTGCAGTTATCCACGATCATGCTATCATATTGTATATCAGGGTAGAGCTCAGAGACCTCCTTGCAACACTTCAGAAACAAACCATCACCAAGTTTCCTACAAAACATAATCTACATTTCTCTTTTCACTTTTCTCAATGGAATGATCTCAATTACAATAAAATCCATGATCAACTTTTATAAAAATGTATCTTTGTAAAATTTTGAATTGCAAGGTGTTACTTAATTTTTCATCCATGTTTAATTTAGACTGATAGTTCAATATGTAATCTCTCTTAACATGATAACTCATCTATACAATACATATTAAGGGGCTCACTTTTGATCAAATACGTCTATTTTCTTTTACTAATTTCTTTGTCTATGATTTTACTGAAGTTTGCCATTACAAATGTTTGAGTAAAAAATAGCATTTTATAAATGATGAGAAACAAAATATGAGCAATTTATTGCCTGAGCAATGGAAAGAGTATCAAAAATGATAACAGAATTATTGTACAGTATTGTATGTGTAGTTGTATATAGCAAGGACACCTCAAAACATTTCACCTACATAATATTTGCCTTGTGTATTGCTGTGACCTTCTTCCGCCCATGTTTGGTTGCAAAGTCAAATGCATATTTAGCAATTCTCCGTGACGCATCTGCTGTGATGATTTTCAAGCTTTCTACCACCCCAGAAACATTCTGTAATAAGAATTCAATTCAAAACTTACAACAAAAAGATTATATGTATCTCATCGTCATGCATTTTGTCATGGCCTTTCAATTGAATGCCCATGTTATGATTTTGTCAAAAAATCCCTGGACTTTAAAATTTTGAATTGCAAGGTGTATTTCTCAGATATACGCATTTCAAAATGTAAAAAGTGCAATGGGAAGTTAACAAAAGTAGGACATGGAATACATAAGCAAAGTGCAGTTAGTTTTTAAGATCCAAAATTTATCAAATACCTCCCAGTACAAAATATATGCATCTCTTACCTCATGTTCAAGATTCTTGTACTCCCCCTCTGTGTTTTCTCTTATAATGATGATATCTATGTTGTCATGTCTAGTCTTCACACCATCAATGCTTTTACACCATAACACATTTGCAAACAAGTCAAGTTCAGTTCTGAAAGCAAAATAGATAAATGTGTCAAGTTGAAGGAGGGGGGGAGGGGGGTAATGCAAACACTTTTTATCAACATAATCTATGAGACCTACGTGTACATAGAATGGTCAGAACCCCAAAAGTTACCTTAGTTGTACATTTCTTGATTTAAACCCTGGTGTGTCAAAATTTGTTTCTCTATTTCCTTTGATGGCAATACCATTCCTCTTAATAGCTAACATAGCATTGTCCATGTCAGCATCTGTACTGTTATTCGAACTGAAATCTATCTCCTCAAAGTCAACTGGTGCTCCAGCAAACCTAAATTACAAGGAAAACCAAATCTATGTTTCAATAATGATAACTTTGATATGTAGGTAAAGGTGATAGACAACAAAAATAAAACAATGTTGAGGCAGGAATTTGCCAATTTTGGGACAGTTTTTTTTGATAGGAACGAGAAATATAAAAGATGATTTATCTATTTCAAAATCACACAAGGAATTTATACACGAATATACAAGTATATATTTCAGAAGATCTAAGGTTTGGACATACACAAAATATGCACAAAAAATGTGCCACTCTTCATTATAAATATATGACAAAGTACTTGTACATGCAGTAATTGTGTAATTCTTGTACAATGAGCAGTTGATTAAATAACAGTTTAACCAAACAACCAATCGAAAAGCTATGTTTACTAATTTGGTTTCATAAACAACTTTGAAGGTGTTCATTTGTTGTACCTGAAGACCTCTTTGATATGCCCCATGAGTTCAGGTCCGACTCCATCCCCTGGCATGAATGTGACTGTGTGACGTCCTCCATACAGGGAAGCTAAAGGCTAATAATAACAAAGGAAAAATATATACAAAATTTTCAAAGTAATGATGAATATATATGGCGCGTGTTTTCTATAGGGAAGTTACGAATAAATATGTTCTATATACGCATTTTTAATTTCTGTGTTGTATATCTTATATCAATGTACAGTACTTAAGTATACAAATTGCAGTAATCATAAGTGCTGGCTTTGTGCAATACTTAGAGGTTATGTCACTATGACGTGAAATATGCCTGAATTCTCCCAATATAGGCCGACCTTGGGAGGCTCTATATTTGGGCAAGAACGAAGGCATATTTCACGTCATAGTGACATAACTGATGTATTACATGCCTTTGTTCCCATGGTTACTTTGTATCAATGACGTGACGTCATGATATTATCATGGTTATTAAAGAAATCTAATATCAAAACGAGGTAAGCGGGCTATATCGGGGTAATCGGGCAATATCGGTGGATATAGCTCGCTAACTTTCCCATTGACTTCCATACAAATGCTTCGCTAGGTATGTAATACAGTATAATATATACAGTTTAATTAGAAATATATGTGCATATAATTCTATGCTGGTTTCCTATACATGTATACAGAAACAAGGCATTAACATGACAAAATGTCACCACCTGGTAGCTCACGATACTATGAGTTCAATCTTAAGTCAAATTTGAATTTCTGAGACCTTGTAGATGATTTTGTAAAATAAACTGGTCAATTTGAAGCAAGTTGAAAAAATACCTTTTTTGACCCTGAGAAGGTCATTGAAGTCAGATTTGAACTTCTGAGAACATGGAGATGATTTTGAAAAAAAATTGGTCAATTTGAAGCAAGATGAAAAAAGACCTTTTTGACCTTGAGAATGTCATTGAAGGTCAAATCTTTTTTGACAAAAAAGGTCAAAAAGGTCAAATCTCAAGGTAAAAAAAGAGACCATAACGATATGTCACCACTTTTTGGTGGTGACCTAAAAACTGAAATCACAATATCCCAGATGCGAGTAGAAATAATCTTGATTTACGTCATTAAAAATTCACAATTCAGTCAAACTGATGTAATATTTGGAATCTACATGTAAAATTACAATGAGAAATGTGGTTTTGAAAAGAGTTTATCAACTTTGAAAATTTAATTTTCTTTGAAAATGTGACTTCTAGGTCGGGGAGATTCCTCATAGACCCCATGTTGTAAAACCACAAAAAGTGAAATATCTTTTCTTGTGTTGGGCAGAGAATATTTTCTTTTACTGGAAATATTTTAATTTGTATAACTATCAGATACATAAGGGTAATATGAAAAGTGAACCACTAAAACTGATGCATATTCAAGTTTAAGGGAATTTTGTAATACCCTGCCATGTTAATTCCCCCGAATCAGCCACCTGGTGGCGAAACTGGAAACTACCTACTCGCATCTGAGTAATTGTCAACTTAGTCTGAATAGTACCTGTGATGTATGTAGCTGGTTGTTCTGCTGGCACACACTGGATGCTGATACACTGTTCTTCGAGGCCTAAAAACAATCAAATCACAATTTAATAAATTATAAATGTTTATTTTATTGAAGTAATGCTTCGTTTTATTGATAATTTTGTGCATCCTTTATGACAATCGACTACACCCGATTTCTTGGCCTTTCAGACCACTTTGTTGATATAAATTGAAATATAAGGGATACCTGAACTCAGTCTGTTACTCTCAAAGTATGTTTATCATAATTTGAAATTGTCAGTAGTTTTCCTGAGTAACCGTGTGATGATAGGATCATTTCCCCCTTTGTCTCTGGTCTTCGATTATCTGTATTTTATAGACCAGCAGGCGACCCAAGCAGGTGCTTTTATTTTTTTCATAGGCGGTAGGATCAAAAAGTGTAGGTTACATGAAGGTTAAAAGGAACTGTTTCGCTGAGTGAGAGATGTGTCTGTTGTCTAAAATGAAACATTATAATGATTCTGGATGGGATTTTTTTACTCTCTGGCTTACAGCTGGATGTGACTTCATTGATTTCATTATATTGAGGTTGAAGCCTTGCTTGCTTGAATTTATATATTTCAAAATTTCCTTTCGGAAAGAACCTCAAACTCAACGGATCCGCCATTTATACATCTCACTCAGCAGAAAAATGGAGGCCATTTTGAAATGAAATTTCGCTCTGTGAAATTAAATCCTTTATGACAATCGACTACACCCGATTTCTTGGCCTTTCTGACCACTTTGTTGATATAAATTGAAATATAAGGGATACCTGAAGATTGGGAATCGTACTTACCTTCTAGAGGTTAGAACACACATTTAAATGAAACCCTATCACCTTTGTTGTGTCAACCATAGAGCATTTAGCACAATATCCAAGAGGTAAAATATGGACCATGAAAATGAATGATTTCCTTGTGAGTTCCGGAAGTTTCAATCTGGTTTCTTCTATACTTTGATCTAAATTATAAAACATCGTGAACATGTCCTACAGTGTATTGTATTAATAGACTAATACATCAGACGGCACATTCATACTTTCTGTGCAGCATTTCATTCAGACCAATAATTCACCACTGTACATGTAGATCATGCAGTTTCTTCTATCTTGGAACAGGCTATCCTCCTCTGCCCTGTCCTAATCTCTACTGCAAACAACCGCAAAACATTTTTTCCTAATATTCTGATATTTTCACATCAGACATGGTTGGATGACATGTCACAAAATTAAAGTTCATGGTCAATACATTATTTCATGATAGGGAAAACTCTTTCCCAGAAGTAAACACAAGGAAAATGGAAAAATCCAAAAGGCATTTACACAAATTTCAATCAAGTACTGTGCTTATGCTTCATCATGAACAAAACAAAGCTGATATTGTTTCATTGAAATGTGTGTTCTAACCTCTAGAGGGTAAGTAAGACTCCTAATCTTCAACATGTCAAGTAACTCTTATATTTCAAAGGGCAGGGGCCTGCCGGACCCAGAAAAAAATAGGGCCCCACAAAGTGAGCCTTTCTGGTCATTACTGGGACTTTACAGGCCTTGTTTTTCTTCCAGTCCAAATTTTGAAGAAATTGGGCCTAAAATTTCAAAATTTGGGCCCACTTTTAGGTTTTTCCGCTTAAGCGCGGAATATATCTCTCAGGACTGAAATTGGCCACCCCTCCTTTTGTTGGTTGCCAGATCCGCACCTGAATCCCATGGTTTCAAAAGGGCCTCATAATCAAATGTCACTTTAAAATTCCCTATTATCGCCCACAGAAAAAGAATTTTACTTTTCAGTTTTTCTTTGATAATTACTGAGAGTAAGAAGAAGTATTTGTCTCACATTTGAAAGCTTGATTCTTCCTCTAAAAACAAATCCGTCAGCAAGTCTACAAACCTTCGCGAAAAGGCGACGAGTGGGCAATTTATGCAGCAGACGAATTTTCCCAGCAGAGGCCATTTTTCACGGGATCACGTGACTTATTTAGAGCTTCGAAAATCTTGTTGAAATGTGCTCGACATCTAAATATTTAAAGATGAATCAATTGAGTAGTTTATGAAGCTATTGCAAACTATGTCAATGTGGGTTTGCGTTGAATTGTCATCTTGAATCGTTTCTTCCTTTCCAAAAAGAGTGTGTCTCAGTGTCCGCTTCCTGTCCGAAATTTACACGCTCTCTAAAAAGTAGGTCAAATCGAATTCACCGCAAAAGTTGTCCTGAATATCTCCATTTTTACGGTATTTACGAGGTGAGTTACAAATTGATAGTGCTACACAATATATATATGTACATATCTTCGTTTTGTATCAAAATATGCTGCTCAAAGTGTCCTACTTTTGTGGCAAAGCCCGTCAGAAATTGAATATTGATTTGAGATGTGAAAATGGCTGCAAAGACTTCCGGTGGGCCTTTTCCAATGTGGTAACACAAAAATCATATATTATAGAATAAAGGAAGCAATCTTCTACGTCTCTGATTTTTCTAATCACAATGCTAATCCGGCAATTATGTAACAAGATCCGTCAGATTTGCCCAAGGCCTGACTTACAAATTATTCGAGTTATTTCGGAATACACTGGGCATTCTTTATCCCGTACCAGGACTATAGTCCTGCAGTGAGAACATTCTTTTGCCTGTACGATTACAACATGGGAGAATTTTCTATGCTTCTTACACTTATGATACCTATTTCAATAGATTCCTTGGTATTTTAGCATTCTTTTCTTGTAGTTGAATCCACAATTGTCTGGGTTTATCGGCGGAACAAAGAAATTTTCGTTTTTAATCACAATATTTGCGAGTAATATTTAACTTATTTCAACCGTCAAATTCCTCCATTTTGGTGCTTCTGGTCCACTTCCGGGTCAGTCAAACGGGGAATCCCCTTTTAAATCCAACCGCCATCTTGGAAAGTGATGGAATATCTCTCGATGAAAAAGAACAATGTTCCCGTTCTGCCGATATACCCAGACAATTGTGGATTCAACTACACGAAAAGAATGCTAAAATACCCAGGAATCAATTGAAGTAGGTATCTTAAGTGTAAGGGGCATAGATAATTCTCCCAAGTTGTAATCGTACAGGCAAAAGAATGCTCTCAATGCAGGACTATAGTCCTGGCACGGGATAAGGCATTCTCAGCCACGGGGGCATTCTTGGACAAAACCTTGACATCAGGTCAGGTGAAAATCTTGGGCTTTGTCATGTTGTCATACTAAACTTGTTGGCAGGGACTTGAGTCAACGTTTCTTTTAAAACTCACTGCCATATAATTTTATCAGGATTGGAAACACAAATTCAAAAAAAGTTACATGTTTTATTTCCCTATTCTTGCCTTGATTAGCTCATCTTGGTGACTTGAACTTGCACAGCTACATAAACAAGAGTCTTATAGTATCCTATCACTCAAAATTATAACTGTAATTGTATCTATTAGCCTCATTTGACTTTCTTGTTGACTGGTAAGATCCAGTCAGAGCTTTGGCAATGGATGACGTTTTCAGAATTATGTACATCAGTCTTTACAATGACCAATCAAATAGCACGATATGATGACTTGATCGATCACAAGCACATGTTTTCCAAGAGTTAACCAATGATGCCTGTTTACGAAGATGTGATCACGTGACCTTCTGCCAAAGCGCTGGCTTCTTGTTTCCAACCCTGGTAAAATTATATGGCAGTTAGTTTCGAAAGAAACATTGACTCATGTCCGTGCTTGTTGGTGAACTTTCTCATTTTATGTAATGTATTGTTTATTTTCAGGTGAATAGAAGCTGACTGGTTCAACACAGTATATGCTGCTGCTTTTAAGGCATAAACTTGAACTTGGCAACTCAAGGTAACCTTTCATTTCTACAAACATTCCAAGATGAGCATCGTTGCACTATTGATGCTTGCACTAACCTGCTTGACAGGATCAAACCATGCATTGTTTCAAGACCAAGCTGGTACATATGATTGGAGACAGCAGTATGTTGGGAAAGTCATTCATGCAATGTTTGATCAGTCCACTGTGTCTGGTAAAAGAATTCTTGTTGCCACCCAGCAAAATGTTGTGGCATCACTTTTCTCTAAGAATGGCAAGATAGCTTGGCGCCAGATTCAGGAAGGTAATGTCCAAGACTCAATCAGCTCTCTGTTGCACTCTGATAACTCTTTGGTCAGTTTATCTGGTCATGCATTCTTGCGTAACTGGAGTCCAACATCAGGATATTTGCAATGGGAAGTCCCTGTAAATGGATCTGGCAAATCTAGTCAAGCAATTTTTATTGAAGATACTGATGAGCAAATAGCTGTCACCTCTGGAAACACACTCTATGTCATTTCCGCTAAGACTGGCTCAGAGAAACTTAAACAATCTCTCCCAAATAGTGAATCAACTGAGTATGGATTGATCTATAGCAAATCAGATAAGATATACTTGGTCGGTATTGCAGAAGATCAGCATGTATCAGTTGTAGCCTATGACTCCCTAGGCACAATACAGTACCAGAATACCCTACCTGCTATCTGGGTCAAAATGAATTCCCAATGTGAGATATTTGGTGATAACCTTGTTTGCCTTGATACTATTTCAAACACTGTATATTCAACTCCTCTAGATGGGAAAGCTTTCAAATCAGTGGCTTTGTCTGACTTTGGTTTTGAGCCCAATCAGCCCAAACTAGTTGCCTTAACAGAAGATAACTCTATTAACAGTTTTGGAATAATAATTGATGGTGAAAATGCTGCTGTATTAGGAATTGATGCTGCAGGTGTGAAAGTTGTGAAAGATCTTCCTCAGGCTACAGCAATGCAAGTAAGTAAACACCCAGAAACACAAGCAAATGTGTTAGTCACAGTAGGTAGAAGATCCTCAGATGATATATTCCTTAAATTATATGACTTGGCAACAGGTAGTGAAATTATTGATATGTCTAAAACTATTCATGTTGCTTCCCACCATGGTAAACCCCAAAAGATTGTTGTCCAGTTAGTAAAAAGGAAAGAAAGCTTATTGAATTTTAGGCTGTTGCTAGTAAGTGATGATCACTCCATGATCCTTCTGCAAACATCTGGTCGTTCTGTTTGGGTACGTGAAGAAGCATTGGCTTCTGTCTTAAGTGTAGAGATGGTGGATCTACCTGTATCTGAAGTACAGGCAAAGTTTGATGATGAATTTGGTTCTTCTCGTGATGATATAGTTGCTATGTTTATCAAAAGGTTCAAGACTCAGTTTCTCCAACTCCAAACATTCATACTTCAGCTGATTGATAACATCCAAGGTCATAAGCACAAAGCTATTTTCACAGAAGGACACGAGGAAGGTGATGATGAATTTGAATTAACAAGAGACAATTTCAATCTAAACAAGATCATAGTAGCTGCTACTTCTGTTGGAAAAGTCTTTGGACTTTATAGTTCTACTGGTAAAATAGTTTGGAGGCATATGCTCCATGATGTTACACCCTTCTCAAGGTATGGGTCTCCCATGTTAGCCCTTTTGGTACAGAGAACCACAGCACATTTTCCCCATCAGCCCCAGTGTGTTGTTATAGGAAAACATAAAGTGACTGGCAATGGTGTCCTAAGTGTGTTCAATCCTATCACAGGTGTTCCAGTCAAGAATACCCCATCAGAGGGCATATCACTCCATTTCCAAATAAAACAGTTTACCCTTCTCCCAATGAATGATGATCATTTTATCAAACCAATTGCGATACTAGACACAAATAACAGAGTTTACCTCTATCCGGAAAACAAGAAAATTATGAAAGAGATTGATAACACAATGTACATGTTCACAGCTAGTGAAGACACCAACACGATGATAGGCTACCAGATTAAACAAATGGATGATGAGCTTAAGGCTCAAGAAGTTTGGGCTGCAAATCTCGGACAAGATAACCAGGTTATCACAAGTGTTACGGCTAAAAAGGTAGGTGAACATGTTCATTCCCAAGGACTGATATTAGCTGACAGGAGTGTGCTTTATAAATATCTTAACCCAAATCTTGTAGCTGTTACAACAGAAGGAATTGATGGCCAAGCTAAACCATTCATCAATATGTATCTGATTGATACAGTTAGTGGCCACATTGTGTTCAGTTGTTATCATAGGAGAGTACATGGTCCTGTGAAGTTAGTTCACTCCGAGAACTGGGTCATTTATAGCTTCTACAATGAGAAAAATCGCAGGAATGAGATTAGTGTTGTTGAGATGTTTGAAGGTTCAAAACAGAGTAATTCTACAGATTTCTCCTCCCTCCACCCACCCTCACCTCCTATTGTAATGAGACAGGCTTTTATATTCCCATTCCCCTTATCTACAATGGCAGCAACTGTTACTGAAAAGGGTATAACAGATAAACACATTATGATTGCTCTGAAAGCAGGGGGTATTGTAGAAGTACAGAGACAATTCCTTGATGCTAGAAGACCTGTAATTCCAAAACCAGAACACCGTGAAGAAGGAATTATTCCATACATCCCAGAGATTCCTCTTAGCTTTGAACAATTTATCAACTACAACCAGAGTGTGTTTAACATTCGTGGTATACATACTTCCCCATCTGGTCTTGAGTCTACCTCATTGATGATTGCATATGGTTTGGACATATTCTTCACAAGGGCAATGCCTTCAAAGATGTTTGATGTGCTCAAAGAGGATTTTGATTATTTCTTCATTGGAGCAGTGCTAAGTGCAATGATCCTAGCATCTGTCATCACCAAGAAGCTGGCTGAGAGAAAAGCCTTATACAGAGGATGGAAATAGAAGAGATTTCACAACCTTATTTCCTTTACACCTTGTTACTGAACAATGTCAGACCATCTCTGTTTGATCATTAAGCTGACAGCATCGTGATAAACAGAAAACATGCGAGCAAATGAAGCTTGGTGACATGTGAAGTGAGTTTGTATTTGATGCAATTAAAGCATGATTGCTTTGATGGAGTTCAGGCAGTCTTTATACAATGAAATATTAGCCATTGATATATCCACCACTGAAAAATATAGGTTTTCATTAAATGCTTGATTCTGAAGTTAAAATAGACCAAAAAGAAATAACTAAAACAATGCTCATCAATTATGATTAATTTTAAAACCCTTAATTATTAATCTGAGAAAAGTGCATATAATTCCCCATCATTACATTTTACCTGTTCAGATTCTCCATATTCTGTCAATTTAATAATTCATGTGATTCAGTGAACATATACATGTGTATCACATTTCCAACCACACAAATTGTCAAAAACTGACATATTTGAGTCTCAAACATTCACCTCTAATTTTAAATGCTGTCTAGAAAAAATGATGCATGCTAATAAATGTATATGATTTATTTAACTCTTGATCCTTTAACATAGTGTATTTTTAATTTGGCACTAAAAGTTATTCTATCAAATTTTCAAGTATCAATTTAAGCTGAATTAGACATGTGCATGTATTTCTTCAAAGATTCAGAATAACTGGAACATTCCATTTGTTTCATCTTCACCTTTTAAGGAGAGGAAGCCTTACAAAAATAAAAGTACAGTCTATACTTACAGTCATTCTTGTGTCAAATTAATTTTTCAGATATTATCTGCAGGCCATTACTCCGTCAGTTTTAAATAAAACATCAATCAAACACAATCAATGTAAATTTAACAAAAAAACAAATAAAAAATAAAAAACAAAAAAAGTTGAAATTTAGATTATTTCCTTATAACCAGTTTTGTATTGTTTAATGTTTCCTTTTTAGTGTTTTAAGTTTTTCCTTTTGCCATATTGTGCTAGCATACTTTACTAACATTTTACAAACCTCTTGTTCTAATCTCTTGCAAATGTACCCATAATGAATAATAAAAATAACACAAAACTTATAATCAACCCAATTTCAGTTTTCTCGTACGTTTATTTTTAGTTTTCAATTTTATTTACAACCTAACCATGCCATACCACAGTGTATGAGGGTCCCAAGCCCCATAAATGGGAGGGGGTTATACCATTCCCTATATTATATTACATTTTCTCCTTAAAATGTTACACATTTACTAATTGCATCTGTAAAGTTTACCCAAGTACATAATAACAGATACAGCAATTACAAACAATATCAAACTTATCAAGTAAACCAGCATAAATACGGCATCATCAATTGTTACTCTAAAAATGTTTGATCATTTGATCAAATGTTTGAATTGTAAGAAAAAAAATCCATAATTTAAGTTAACACATCCCATCTGGAGGTAAGTGATGTTGAATGCCCTATCAGAGCTGTTTAACTCTATGATTGTTGCATACTAAGATTTGTGGTGACCATCCTTAGGTTGTAGATTGGCCCAACTCAGTCCTTCAGATGTTAATAAAATCTTTACACTTGGTACAGGAGCCTTCCTATAACAATGCGATAAATCAGCCTTAGCTTCTGGAATCCACCACCCATATAATGCACACAATGGGGAGGGGAAGTAAAACAAAATTATAATATTACCCACCCTATATGTTAATGAATAGAACTATGTATATACTAAACACCTTTAATGTAAGGTCAACCAAAACTACAAGACCAGAACACAACATCTGCTAGAAGTTAAACTTAATTTCAGGTCATTTGGGTAAAAAACCAACATACAGTGTTCCATTGTTTATCCCAAGAAAAGAAATAAGCTGTAAAAAGCAAGATAAACATTGTATATTCAGAGTCAAGACTCATACAATCTACATATCCCAAATAGGATTAATCTCAGTAAGTAATATGTAATTGTACTTGTTTGAAATTGATGTTTCTGAAAACATAACTGGATCCATACTTGAATCAACTCACTCCTATATAAATATAATTAAATTTAATATAATTATTGTTAAAGTGCACCTCTTTTAATTGCAGACCTTATATGAAATGCTTTTTGAAAGTCAAAGTCAGTTATTTAAGGCCCATTGATTACAATGTTCATGAAAACATTCATGGTGTCCTCCTTTAATGAATTTAAAGCAATGCAACTCCATTTACCAGACCTTACATAACACCTGCATTTCAATTGGATGGCTTGTGCGCGACCCGTTTATTGCAAAATTACAGAAAACTATACATCACAAAACAACAATACGTATGCCAGAAACTCTCTAGGTTTCATGCAATATGGAACCATGTCTTATATGTAGATTTGAATGAATTCTCTAAACCTGACTAACTTTTTACATGATATTGTATTATAACCTTCAACTCGTGCCAGTTTCTCGGAGACCCCTCTCACAGAGTGTGAAGAAGTACCTAAATGTTTCTTCTTTGAAAACAAATAGGTCTACCTACATCCTAAGCTGAAACTGACTTGATGTAGGCTTCAGAGTTCATAAACTGTAAAGAAACATTATAAAACTAGCGCTTTACAAAAGTTTGAATTTGAATAAAATGATAGGATTGAACTACATTTAAACTATTCTTGAGAAAACCTAATCATCTTATCTGGCAAATTTAGTGAACTGTGTGTAGGTCCACAGATAAAGCCGAAGTGATCAAAAACACCTTGGCCATACCAGAACCAATAATAGCCCAGCTAAATAATATGTCACTGACAAACAAATTATGCCTCAGTTTCAAACAAATACCGCTAAATTTAAAAAGCTGTCTACATTTCCTTGAAGCTTTAAAGGGTGACGCATATCGTTTAGCAAATCGAACGCTCGTTTCTGGTGTTGCTCACCGTTTAGTATAAAAGGCCCGATCCCGGAATAATACTCAAGGGTTCACAGGTTCGAGATCGTTGTGTCAACACCTCTAACTGTTATATAGCATAAGTGTATTATAGATCGTCACACATTTATAAAAGGTGATTTTTATTTTGACAAATCAATTCCACATTTATGGATGAAGTTTCAGGATCTTCTATTTGTGTATAATAAGGAAAAATTGGCATCTAAATTTCCCCATAACGTAATAGCACACAGCTTGGCATATAAAATATCCTACAAATGAAACAAAGCAAGACAAACCGGTTTCTAATACAAGGATTTATATTGGCTGTTGTACTTGTATTCTTTGAACGCAATCACTCTTTGGATAACGTTTTCAAAATCATTATAAACGGATTACTTTATCTCAAAGACAATTTCAATAAACTGGATTTTACAGAACTCCCCTTATTTCTTAAAAATGGACTGATCCAGTTGATTCGCCTGGAGCCGCCATATTGTTTTTATACGGGATGCTAATCGGAACCCTTTAAAATATTTTCGACCTAATTCTCTTCCATCAACCGTTAGAAAAAACATTTCTTGAATATGTTTTTTGAGTCCCAGCTGACTAAATCCTCGCTCACAATCTGCAACTGAAGATGCAGCAATAGTGAGGATGACTTCTGCCAATTTGGCTGTATCAGGAAGGCAGTCATGTAAGACTTGTTTGCTCTGCCTCATTGAGGGCTCAATGTTATTTCTGTCTTAGGCATTGGAACTTTCAGCTTGGTCCCTTCCATGATTGTCATCTGGGACTAGAAAATGGTGATCAGATTAAAAGGAGATTAGCCAGGCGTTCAGATATGCAGGTTCTACTGTAATCAGTAAGTAAAGCTTTTGTCCTTAATGGATTTTGCTCTGTCCCATTGTTTGCTCTGCCTCATTGTTCAAAGGTACTTGTTTGATAATTTAGGATAATTTAGATTATTAGGCATTCCATCGTTGTGTCCACTTATTCTCTTTTTTAGAGGCCGCATCATCGTTGTTATTTCTGTCTTAGGCATTCGAACTGTCAGCTTGGTCAAGAGTGGCGCAAGGAATAACCATGAGGCCCATTCCTTTGATAGAAATTGTTTGAAGGTGCAGCGCCTCAGTAATTTCAAAGTAGGGAGAGCCCTGATATGGCAATTTGGTGGTTAACACAACCAACATTTGGAATTAGATTGTCTTGGCATGATTGCAGCTGTGATGGATCAACATTGCATTTTGTTGTGAGATGTTGATCACCAACCATCTTTTTCAGCATAATATTGCGTAAACCATTTTCAGATTTTTCCCTTTGGGTATCAATACATATTGTGAATATCTCATATCATCCTTCACATCTTGTGGTACAGACTATTTGTCTCAAGTGTCCCGAGAGAACAAAATTAATTAATGAATCTAGTAGATGGAATGTATATATTGTATGTAATCAAAGGTGATTTATGGAAAATTACATACATGTACATTTATTTGCCAGAATGAAATTTCAGTGTTAAACCTACCAAAATACATATACTTTAAAACCTAAATGTAAACTTTACCATTTTTTCTCTTTGCTATCTTTTGCCGTGGCAATTGGTGTTTGTGCACGTTCTCTCTTGCACATCACTTGTTCACCCTAAACTCCTCTGTGGATATGCCGTCTCCGATATCAGTCCATATTTGGCCCCTGGCTACTCATCACACCCTAATGAGAAAACATTGACCTGGTCTGAGGACTCTGTAGGCCCCGCCTCTGTAGGCCCCGCCTACCCAAAAGTCAAGTTACCATAGTAACCCTTACTTTTGACCAGTCAAATTAGAGATGCTGTTATTTTAAGAATCAATCAGAAAGTATTTTTTATACATTGTGTGAAAATTTCATCAGAAAATATCAAAAATCTTTGAAATGAGAGCATTTTTCCGGGAACTTATTGAACGACCTGGTTTCTACACACCGACACAACATGTCGTAATTGACACTTGTTATACAACAGAGTATGGCAAGTTTGCTCCCCCTCAACACTCATATTGTTTATTGTTAAAGAAAAACAATCTAAGGTACACAGTATGAACATGATGAATTATTAAAACAGAGCTTTTATGATCTAGAGAAAAATTAAATCTCTTTTAGATTACATGTTAAAATGGCCAATGAAGCATTTCAAGGTCCTTTAAAACAGACAACAATTGCTTTTAAGAAAAATTGAAGATATTTTGGAGAGCCTGGGTTTCTTTTTTTGGAGATTCATTGTTTTACGTTTACGTTTTATGACCATTGCTGTACCTGAAGCATCACATGATATTATGAGTG